TGCCTCCCTCATCTTTTGAGTGTACTCTTCTCTTGGCTTCCATGATGCGCTATGTTTTTGAGTGTCCCCTACCTGTCTCGTTGCTCCTTATTGGCCGCTAAGCTACCCCAATTTTCCTGCCCTTCTCTTAAATGTCTTATTCCTCTTCTCATTCTCTCTACCCACTCTTCTTGCCACCTCATGGACCTCCATGCCTTTAATGACTATTTACATGTTGAGGACTTCATGTCTCAATCTCCAGCCAGGATGTTTCTTTTGACTTCCAGACGCACAGGTTCAACTGCCTAATCGACACCTTCCTCTGGGTGTCCCACAGGAACCACAGCCTCAACACATTTAAAACTCAACTACTCATCATTTCCCCACCCAAAGCTGCTCTTCCCCCTGTGGTCCCTCTCAGCATGAAGGACCCTGTGATCCAAGCCCGACACCTCTAAGTCACCCTTGACTTGTGTTTTCCCCGACATCACCTCGTCTTGCTGATTCTACCTCCTGAATGTCTTACACATGTCTACTCTCTTCCATCCTCTTGGTTCAGCTCCATGTCTTTGAACCTGGGAGTCCTGCCTCCAATTATGCCCTCCTTACAATCCCATTCTCCACACTATGGAATGATCTTTCTAATATGGAATCCAGACCATGTCTCCTATTTTAAAGCCCATAGTGAATCCTCACTGCCTTTAGGATAATGTCCAAACTTCTCTCTACTTAAGACCCTTCCTCATCTGGCCCCTGCTTCCCTCTCCAGCTTCCTATCTGACCACTCACTCCAGGTTCCAGTCGTGCTGAACTAATTTCAGATCCCCATGTGTGCCCCACTCTTTCTTGCCATATTCTTCATGGGTCTGAAGGGGAATACACTCAGAGATTTGTTGTTGGTTGAATGGGAGGTAGGCAGCAGGATTCTAAGAAGGCCTTCTGCAAATATGTCCCTAACAAAAGTGATAAGAAAAGAATAAGTGAACATGGGAACCTAGCTATTGAGGCTTTAAATGGGACACCTGAATGACTTCAATTACTGAAACCAAGGCAAAAACCTAGAGGGAACATTCATTTCAACAATGAATGAAGTGAAAACTTTGAGCAATGGAGGATTTAATATATTTGAAGGAGAAATGATATCTAACAACTCCAGTGATTTAATTAATTTGTAATATAGCTGAACAAAGGCCCAAAGTGGAAAAATAATCCCTAGGGTTCTCTCATGAATCCAACACAACATTTGGAGTATTTTTGCTCTCATGATAACAAAACCAAGAACAATATTAATGTTTAACTCTATTGATTAATGAAATAATATAAACTCTGTATAAATAAACCTAAAAATCAGTCTTATCGATAGTCACACTTTCAGTGTCCACATCCCCTTGTAATGTCCTGCTGCTGGCCTTCTGCATCCTCTGCTCGAACACACACTCTCTCTGAAGCCTTGTTCCAAGTAATTTAGCTTCTCTGTTTCCTCATCTGGAAAAATGAGGATTAAAAAGAAGATAGCAGTACCTACTTCATGGGTTGTAAGGGCTAAATGAGCCAATACTTGTCAAGCCTGAGAGCAGCGCCTGTTACAGAATCCGTTTCAACATTTACTAACAAGCTGCCATCATGATGGATTTGATGGATTATTATCATTGTGTTTGTTATTCTCCTCTTCCCTTCTGCTCACCTTCCTAAGTCTCATCCCTTCTCCTGTTGTGAAATCGAGGATCATGCATAGAGCAGGTGCCCCTCCCAACAGCCCTCCTGAGTGGGCTGCCATGTCTTCCTTTTCCAGGAGTGGGAAAGAGAGGCTCACTAGATGCAGTGCTTCACCCTGGGTCACAGGCTGGCGATTGGCTCCAGGTCCTGCCCACTGCAGTCTGAGTTCCGCATCCTGCACTATCTCCTACATCTCTGTTCTGATGCCCCAGCTCTCTGTCTACAGCCGGTCTCTACAATGTTGCGATGCCTGGCTCCTAAGTGACTCATACCTACTTTCCTTCCTTCTCAACTTGCTTCTCTTCTTATGATCCTCTTTTAGTGACTGGCCCCACCGTTCATCCATACCTTAGGCCTGAATACTGGGCTGCATCCCAGATTCCTCCTCCTCCTCCTCTTCTTCTTCCTTCTCCTCCTCCTCTTCCTCCTCTTCCTTCTCTTTCTCCTCTTCCTCCTGTTGTTGTTGGTCCCCAGGGCCTACTAATTGTATTCCCTAAGCATTTCTGAACCAAATTTTGTTTTAAGACTCATCTTTTTCACCTGCATGACCTGGTCAGCTTCTTTCCAAATGGCCCTTCAGTCTCTGGTCTCTTCCCAGGCTCCAAGGAAACCTTTCCACCACATCAATAAGAGCAGGTCTTGCTCCTGTTTAAAACTGGCCAATGGCTCTCTGTTGTCTTATCAGCTCTGAGAAAGGTCCCAAGAAAAACTCTGCAAAACAGGATTCTGTGGCCACATTGTTTGGAAAATGCAGCTCTCTCTGTCCTTATCTTGGAATGGCACTTGACTCATGAGCATCACAGAGGGTGCAAGAAGCCCTACAATAAAGAGTCTTGTTTAGCCCTAGCTAGTTTGGCTCAATGGATAGAGCAGTGGCCTGCAGCCTGAATGGTCCCAGATTTGATTCTGGTCAGGGACACATGACTGGGTTGCAGGCTCAATCCCCAACTGGGGATGTGTAGGAGGCAGCCGATCAATGATTCTCTCTCAACGTTGATGTTTCTATCTCTCTATTCCTTTCCCTTCCTCTCTGACATCAATAAAATTGTATTTAAAAAAAATAATAATAAAGAGAAGTGATAATTAAAAAAAGAAAAAGAATCTTGTTTAGAGTGTTGGACCCAGTGGTTCTCAGTCTTACCTGATGCAGGGCCCCCTGTGATCATTGAGGGCGGTGGTTTCCAGCATGGGGCACCCTCCCCCCACAGGGGGGTAGTTTGACTTTTAAGGGCGGGAATTTGAGAATGAGTTATTAACAGTGAATTTTTTGCATTTCTTATGGTTCTAGGGGCCTCAAATACACTAAATAAATATATATTGTGACATATTTATGCATTTAAGTTCTCTATTATATGTTTTGAAACTTTGTTTCCTACTTTTTCATATGACTTCATGTTATTACTATTTTTAAAAATATATATTTTATTGATTTTTTATAGAGAGGGATAGAGAGCTAGAAACGTCGATGAGAGAGAAACATTGACCAGCTGCCTCTTGCACACCCTCTACCAGGGATGTGCCCACAGCCAAGGTACATGCCCTTGACCGGAATCGAACCCGGGACCCTTTAGTCCGCAGGCCGATGCTCTATCCACTGAGCGAAACCAGTTTCGGCTATAACTATTATTGTTAACAGTTTCTTCCTCAGTATTTCAACTGTCATTTTATTCTTTTCTTTTTCTCTTTTATGAGTGCCATGTTCTTTGGAAGCTGGTTTAGATAAAGTGAATGGCCTTCCTCCACATGAATAAGAGTTCACTTTTTGAATAATAGGAATTATATGTCTCAGGGCGGGGGGCATCAGGATTTTAGAGATGCTCAGGTGGGGCATGGCAAAAGAGATTGGGAACCACTGATTTAGAGGAATCATGTTGCAAGAATACTTTTTGGGAAACACTGCCTGGCAGGATCAAGTGCAAGTTCCTTAGAATGATTTAGAAGTCCTTTTAAGATAGGACTCCTTATCTTTCTCCACTCCCCTCCACCATCCGTCCTGCACCCAAATTATCTGCTATTTCCCTCGGGTTGTTTTATATCTCCTAAAAGGCCCTTGCCTCTGCTTCCTCATGGACAAATGCACTCATTCTTCAAGAGTTGGCCCAATGGCACCCCCTATGCTACTCCTTCTCTCTCTCTCTCTTTCTGGATCCACTGTTGCTTGGTCTGGTGGCTGACAGCATTTGCCTGTTTGTGGGTCTGTCTGGGCCATTGGAGGATCAGGACACAGTGGCTAGGTGTCTTTACCTCCACATCCCCAGCCCTCACACTGCATTTGGCACCTGGGAGAGGCTCAGGAAGTGTTGGTTGAACAAGTGGATGAGGAAACAAGATCAAAGTTATGCGGGGCTGGAGATCACACTGCCTCAAAGGGTGGTTCTAAGCCAGGGTTGCTCAACCGCAACACCACTGACAGTTTGAACCAGATAATTTGTTGTGGGGGCTGCCTCCTGCACTGCGGGCTGTTGACGGGCATCTCTGGCCTCCCTTAGATGCCTGTAGTTCCCCCCTCTCCAGTGTAACAATAACAAATGTCTCTAGCCCAGCCAGTGTGGCTCAGAGGTTGAGCATCGACCCATGAATCAATAGGTCCCTGGTTTGATTCCCTGTTTGGGCGCATGCCCGGGTTGTAGGCTTGCTCCCAAGTATAGAGCATGCAGGAGGCAGCTGATCGATGTTTGGCTCTCGTCCATGTTTGTATCTCTCTATCCCTCTCCCTTCCTCTCTCTCTAAAATCAATCAAAACTTTTTTTTTTGGGGGGGGGGGGGGGGAGTCTCTAGACATTGCCAAATGTCCCCTGGAGAGCAATATTGCGTCTGGTTGAAACTACTGTTCCAGACATAGGTTATTCGAGTTGTCTTCTTGTCTCTGGGCAGGTGATGTTGTTCTCAGATAGTTTAACCCATTATCCTTCTTGTCCTTAAAACTTTCTCAAGGATAAGAAGCCTCCTTCCTCTGGAGAGGCTAAGGGTATGTTCCAGGAAGGGTGCAGCTCCAGCAGCTTCTCTGGGGATGGTGAAGCGAGCCCGGCGGGTGAGCTTGTGCTGCGCCTGGAGCTACGGAGGCATCTGGAATAGACGGGAGCTCGTGCTCCAGGAGTCTGTGCTCGTGCCCTGGAGAGAGGATCCCTGGGGAGGTTCAGAAAGCAGTCTTTCACAGAGCTGCCAGCCTGGCCTGTGCTTTCTGAGAAACACCGTGTTTCTGTAGGAGAAAAGTCCAGTCACCTTGCTTCCCATCCTCGTGGGAGCCCAGGAAAGATGGAGCGCTCCTCTATGGCCACCTTCTCACCCTTGTTCCGCCTTTGCAGTCAGTGCCGAGGGGAGCCAGGCCTGCGCCAAAGGCTGCGAGCTCTGCTCCGAGGTCAACGGCTGCCTCAAGTGCTCGCCCAGGCTGTTCATCCTGCTGGAGAGGAACGACATCCGCCAGGTGGGCATCTGCCTACCGTCCTGCCCGCCCGGATACTTCGATGCCCGCAACCCCGACATGAACAAGTGCATCAGTGAGTGTGGGCAGGGCGGGAGGAGGGCACAGGGACACCAGTCCCTGGGGGAGGGTACCCTGAACTGTTGGTGGCCGGCAAGAGAAGGAGGGGGGATTCTGAGATGAGGGAAGAGGAGGCTCTGATTCAAGTATCTAGTTATCCGTCAGACATCTCCCCCGATAGTCCTTCCTCATTTCCAACTCGGTGTGTCTGTATCAGAACTGCATCTCCTCCACCTGAACCTGCACCCACCTGTATTCCCACAGGCCACTCTGGGTCCCAAGCCATCCCCCGAGCCATAGACCTAAAAGCCAACTTCTCGCCGAAACCGGTTTGGCTCAGTGGTAGAGCGTCGGTCTGCGGACTGAAAGGTCCCAGATTCAATTCCGGTCAAGGGCATGTACATTGGTTGCGGGCACATCCCCGGTAGGGTGTGTGCAAGAGGCAGCTGGTGTATGTTTCTCTCTCATCGACGTTTCTAGCTCTCTATCTCTCTCCCTTCCTCCTCTCTGTAAAATATCAATAAAATATATATTTTTTAAAAATAAAATAAAAATAAAAGCCAACTTCTCATGTAGACTATTCCCCATCCATCCAATAACTGAGTCATGCATGCTCCATATCTTTTCGTGTGTGTGTGTGTGTGTGTGTGTGTTTGTGTGTATGTGTGTGTGTGTGTGTGTGTGTGTGTGTGTTTATTGATTTTAGGGAGAGAGGATGGGAGAGGGAGAAATAGAAACATCAGAGCATTAATGTCAATTGGCTCCCTCCTGCATGCCCCCTACTGGGGATCGAGCCTGCAACTCGAGCATGTGCCTTGACCAGGAATTGAACCAGAGACCTCTTGGTACATGGGATGATGCTCAGTCACTGAGCTGGGCTCCATCTCCTTTCTGTCCTCACTGCCATTGTCTCACCCAGGCCCCCGTCATCTCTCCCCTGAACTACTGCAATAGCCTGTTGATCTGTCCTCCAACTCCCATCTGTTTCCTTCCACCCGCCTCCGCACTGCAGCCAGAGAGATGCCTCTGAGACACACACAGCCTCTGCCATCACACTGCTGCTTCAGAACCGCCACTGGCTCTGCTGACTGCGGAGACATTCATGCCTGGTCAGCCTGCTACCGCCTCCTCCTCCCCCTGGTCTCCTCACTCTTCAGCTTTCTCCTACACCAGCCACAGCTCCCAGGCACCTACTGTCACGTCTATCCATCTCGGCTGTGACATGCCGGGCATATGCGGTGAACACACTCCAGTGAACAAAACCAGTGCCCCTCCCATGTGCTCGGTGCCTGGGAGCTTAGGATGTGTTTCTGGATCTCATATCAGCTGAGTCCGAAACACCCCCTAGAAGGAGACAGGATCTAAGTGATGGTACCTTTTTATAGCTGGTAACAGCGAGGCCGGGAGGGATACGACTGACCCCACATCAACCGACTGGGTTTGTACTCTCAACCCTGCGACTAGTTCATTGTGTGACTTTGGCATGTTGTCACCTCTCCAAGATCTCCTATTTTAAATGGGAGTACTCGTTTTTTCCTCTGGGGTTGTTGTGGGAGGCATTCAATAAATGGTAGCTGTTATTGTTTTTCCTGTGTTCCACCTGCAGCCAGACCCAGGCATCGGAGCGCGAGAGGAGGAGGGAGGGAGGGGAGCGGAGATAAAGCCACAGATGCACAGAGGCAGAGGCACAGAGGAGGGTGCGGTGGGTGTGGGGAGCATGTGAGGTTGGAGGTAGGACCCTGGAGCTGCCCTCTCGGGCTCTTCCCCATATTTGGGGTGGAGAGTTCCTGGCTGTGCCAGCTCCTGGGGAAACTGGCAGCCCAGGCTCCAGGTGCCAGCGACCAACCAGGAGGAAGTTAGCCCTGCCCACAATCTGGGAAGGGAGAGATTGTGAAAGACCCTGCCTGCTCCTTCAGCCCTGAACCCACCCTCCCCCCTCTCCCCCAGAGGAGGGAGAGCTGGCAGGAGGGGATAGGGAGGGACCCAGGAGTCCAACCAAGGCGGTTCCTGGAACTCGCCTTGTGGAGGGAGAGGAATTTGCCCTGGGATGGCTTCCCTCCTCCAAACCCATTCTTTCTGCCCCAGGCAGGAGGAGATCCAGGGTTTGGGTCTGTGGATGCTCAGCAGTGGGGGAAGAGGAGACCACACAGCCACGGTCAGGGGGTCACTGTATCCCTCAGTCCAGTTCTGACGAGGTGGCCCTTGGGGTTCCATGAGATGCTGGGATCCTCCTCTCTTCCCCCGCACTCATCCCCGGGAGTCCTGCCCCTCTCCCCCACCCAGAAACTGGCTGTCTCACACCTCACCTTAGGTTCCAGGGCCTGGAATTGAGTGTGGGTTGAGATGAGCTGACCCTGGTGAGGTCCAGCCAGCCCAGAGTGACCACTGTGGCCCTTTCTCTCCCCGCCCTGTCCTGTCCCCACACACCTCTCTGCAGTGATCACCGCTCTGGACCCCGTCCTGCGCTCAGTGTGGGTGGACCGGCGCGGTGGGTGCTGGGATGGGGATGAGGGGAGGCTGAGCCAGAGGGCCCCCACTCTGGTCCTCTCCTCAGAATGCAAGATTGAGCACTGCGAGGCCTGCTTCAGCCACAACTTCTGCACCAAGTGCAAGGAGAGCTGGTACCTGCACAAGGGCCGCTGCTACCCAGCTTGCCCCGAGGGCTCCGCAGCTGCCAACGGCACCATGGAGTGCAGCAGTCCTGGTATGGTGTGTGGGCACCGTGGGCAGAGGGTCTGGGGACCCCCGGAGGAGGACGGGCCAGGGAGAGTGTGGCTGGGGCACCGTCCAGAGAAAGCTCACTCCAGACCACCCTCTGGGGTTTCTCTCGGGACTCTCCTGCCCTCTGGGCCTAGCCCCAGGTAGAGAGCAGGTGGGCAAAGCTCCCCCCGGGGCATTCTGTGACCCTCCTTTCTCCGCCTCCTCTCCCTTCCCGCCAGCACAATGTGAAATGGGCGAGTGGTCCCCGTGGGGGCCGTGCGCCAAGAGGAAGAAGCTCTGTGGCTTCCGGAGGGGCTCGGAGGAGCGGACAAGGAGGGTGCTCCACGCGCCTGGGGGGGACCACGCCGTCTGCTCCGACACCAGAGAGATCCGGAGGTGCACAGTGCGGAGGACGCCCTGTCCTGAGGGTGAGCTGCAGCCCCCGCCTCCCCAGAGTCGGGGGCCAGGCCCAACCACAGAGATGGGACCCCCTCTGCTTCCTGCCCGTTGCCCAGGAGAGGGTCTCAGGCCAGGCCAGATGGGGCGTCCCCAAACCAAGACCCCGTGCCGTGCCCACCGGTGCCAGGCCTGGCAGAGACCCAGAACTCTGTGTGGTGGGAGCTGGAGGACACTTCCATGTCGAGATCCTTTCGGTGTCTCCATTGCTTCTGAGCCAGGGCTGTGGGCGCTGGGAGGGCCCTGCGAGGTCAGATGGGGCATGGAAGGGGGTGTAGTGGTTAAAAACATTTTTTAACATGTTTTTATTGATTTCAGAGAGGAAGGGAGAGGGAGTGAGAGACAGAAACGTCAATGATGAGAGAGAGTCACTGATCGGCTGCTCCTGCACCCCCCACACTGTGGATTGAGTCCACAACCTGGGCATGTGCCCTGACCGGGAATCAAACCTTGGCCTCCTGGTTCATAGGTTGACCCTCAATCACTGAGCCATGCCGGCCTGGGGATGGTGGTGGAGGGGGCTAGTGATTCGATCAAGGTCACTGAGCCTGCCTTTGGCAGTGATGTGGTGGCTGACCCCAGAGGAGGCGGGGCCACCCTGTGGGTCCTAAAAACTGCACTGACCCTCTTAGCTCTTTGGGATCCCAGGTCTGAGGAAGACAGGAGGGGGGGGTGTGTGGTTTACCCAGGGGTGGAGGATGAAAGGCTCTTAGGACCCCTCTCAGTGCCCATGTCCTGGGTCCCTCCGCATCCCCTCCTGCCAGCTCTCCTCCGACGTGGCTGATGGTCAGAGAAGGCCTTAAGGGCACCTGACCGCCTAAAGGCAGCGCTCCCAGCCTCCTCCCTGTCGCCCCTGCCCAGCTTCCTCACCGCTCCCCTCCTGGGCCCATGGCCATGCCCGGGGCCTCCCTGCGGTGGCACGATGACCTGTGTTGAGTCTTCCTGCTGTTGGGTTGCAGGGCAGAAGAGGAAGAAGGGAGGCCAGGGCCGGAGGGAAAAGGCCAACAGGAACCCGAGCAGGAAGGAGAGCAAGGAGGCAGGCACCGGCTCTCGGAGACGCAAGGGCCAGCGGCAGCAGCAGCAGCAGCAGCAGCAGCAGGGGACAGAGGGGCCACTCACATCTGCAGGGCCTACCTAGGGACCCTCTTCAGCCTCCAGGCCTGCGCGGAAAGAGGGACGGACGCTTTACTGAACTGGAGCCCTGGAGGGCGACATGTACACACACTCTGCACACATACATGGACACACACACACACACACACACACAGAGCGACCCCCATGTCCAAACATGGAATCAACAAACATGCAAGTGTGTGTGTGCACACATGCACACACACATACCCATAAACACTCGAGGCTACCGGAAGACACTTCTATTCCTCGGACCTCATGATATGGACAGGGCAGGGAGCTGGACGGGTCATCTCTGCCAGGAGGGGCCCCTGGCAGCACACACTTGGTTTGCGATGCTCCCTGCGGACACGGAGAGAACATTTCCCGGCGCCCAGGCCCGGCCTTCTCCGAGGAGAGCCTTCTGGAGGAGCCGGCAGGACCAGCCCCGTGCGGCAGACGGGAGCCACAGCGTGAGGCCTGTTCTGCATGTCCAGCTGTGTGACCTGATCGTTGTTGCCCATCCGAGATCCACATCAGGGCTGCCTCGACTTTGAAAACTGCTTGAAGGTTTATTTCTAATTAAAAACAAAAACGAAATGACCACCATGGCCCCGGGCACCACGTTCTTTTTCAGGGTACAGGTTTTGGTGGGGCATGTCTGGGAGCAGGAAGAGTCAGGGCTGAGTTTTTAGAGATCCCTGCTGGCCCCCTGGACAGAGCAGGAAGAAAACTTGAGGATAGTCACGGTGGAGCCAGCTTCTCTAGCCTTGTTACCCAGAGTGTGGTCTGCGGACCAGCATTGAGGGCATCACTGGGCAGCTTGTTAGAAATGGGACTCTCGGGTCCCATCCCAGACCCAATGAGCCAGCGTGTGCATTTTATTCTTTATTTTATTTATTTTTTAAAAATATATATTTTATTGATTTTCACAGAGAGGAAGGAAGAGGGATAGAAAGCTAGAAACGTCGATGAGAGAGAAACATTGACCAGCTGCCTCCTGCACCCCCCCCCCCCACTGGGTATGTGCCTGCAACCAAGGTACATGCCCTTGACTGGAATCGAACCCGGGACCCTTCAGTCCGCAGGCAGACGCTCTATCCATTGAGCCAAACCGGTTTCGGCTATTTTTATTGATTTTTTACAGAGAGGAAAAGAGAGGAATAGAGAGTTAGAAACATCAGTGAGAGAGAGTCATCGATCAGCTGCCTCTTGCGGGGGATGTACCCACAATTAAGGTACATGCCCTTGACCGGAATTGAACCTCGGACCTTTCAGTCCACAGGCCGGTGCTCTACCCACTGAGCCAAACCGGTTTCGGCAGCATGAGCATTTTAACAGGGCTCCAGGTGACTATCGACACAGTCAAATGTGAGATGCTCTAAATACCTCTAAAGATGGTGGGATTCTGGTCAGCGATAGAGGAGGACTTTCCGTCTGGGAGAGGTGCCGTCTCCATTTCAAAGGGCCATAGTAAGCACTCCGAGGGAAGGGGAGCTCAGGCTCTCTGAGACGGTTGGAGACAGTGGGCCCACAGGAAGGACAGCAGTGGAAGACATCTTGTGGCATTTGGAAGGGTCACTCATGCCCCAGGCTCTGAACTAAGTGTTGGCTTCCAGGAGGGGAACCAGACATGGCCCTTGCTCTTATGGAGCTTAGAGGTTGGCGGGGATGACAGAGGTGAATCAAGTAATTATTCGAATAAATGTATAATTACAATGGGGCAGAGATAGGGGGAGGCAACCATGGGCACATACACATAGCTATGAAGGTGAGTAAATAGGAAAGACTTGATCTCAGGAAAGTTTTTCAGAGGAGGTGATATTGGAGCCAAGCTCAGGACAAGTAGAAGGTGTTAAGACAAAGAGAAGAAATGGCATTCTAGGCCAGTGCCGTCCAATAGAAATATAATATGAGCCAATTATGTAATTTACATTTTTCTAGTAGCCAAATTTAAAGAGGAAGAAGAAACAGGTGAGATTAATTTTGATGATATCTTTCATTTAATGAAATATAGGCAAAATATTATCTTTTTAACATGTAACCAATACAAAAAACTTTTAATGAGATTTTTCACATTTTTTTTCTAATTGAGTCTTTGACACGGATTTGTTTTTTACACTGAATTTTCACCAGAAATAATTTAGCTAGATTTAGATATCATAAAAATTAACACTGAAAAGTGAATTCACAAACGTTTCAAGAACAGTTGTCTGCCAATATTTAATGTTTTTCAATTTAACGCATTCAGTTTTTTGCACAAGCCACACTTCAAGTGCTCACTAGACTCATGCAGCTAGTGGTTTCTGTGTTGGACAGCACAGTTCTATAGAGAGGGCACTGCGCTGAAATGGAGCTTGGGTGTTCAAGGCAATATAGCTAGAAGGCCTAGAGGGCAAGTGAAGTGAGGTCATCTCAGAAAGGTCATCTGGGGGCGGGGTGGGGGGTGCGGGGCAGAAAGGTCACCTGGAGTTGCGTCTTATTCTCAGAGCCAGGGGGAATTGCTGAAGGGTGGGTTTTTTTCATTATTATTATTTTAATATATTTTATTGATTTTTTACAGAGAGGAAGAGAGAGGGATAGAAAGCTGGAAACATCGATGAAAGAGAAACATCGACCAACTGCCTCTTGCACACCCCCTACCGGGGATGTGCCCGCAACCAAGGTACATGCCCTTGACCGGAATCGAACCTGGGACCTTTCAGTCCACAGACCGACGCTCTATCCACTGAGCCAAACCGGTTTCGGCTGAAGGGTTTTTTAAATTGCAGATCAACAATGACGAGATTTGTATTTTGCCAGGATCATGCTGGCTGTACTGCAGAAAACAGACTGGAGAGAAGCAGCTTAGGGTTTGGAATAGTACCTGGCGATGAGAGAGCTCATGTCCTCAAGTACGCAGATCAGGTAATGGAGACTTGGTGGGGAAGAGTCAGAGGAGGAGCAGGCAATGGGGAAACCAGGGCAAGATCATGTCCTGGAAGCCAGCAAGCAGGCGGGGAGATCAGGAGGCCCAAAGGCTGCTAAGATACCAAGGAAATGAGGACTGGAAATTAACCGTTGGGCTGACAGCATGTGTACCAGGAGAGACCTTCACAAGAGGCCAAAATCGGTACAAACAACTCCTTCAGGGAGTTTAGCTGAGAAAAGGAGAGAAATAAGACAGGGACTAGAAAGAGACCCGAGATCATAAGAGAGTTTTGTTGTGGTTTTATGGTTTTGTTTTTAGGTGGGAAAGACTTAAACATGTTTAAAACCTCTGGAAAGGATCCAGGTAAGAGAAAGAATAAATTCACAGGAAAGACCAGGGGGACGGGTAGTGGAAGGCTCCGAGCGGGGCAGGGACAGCTCTACAGGAGCCAGGAGAGTGCGCATCCGTGTGAGAGGTTTGGAAGGTTGGCATCTCAGGTCTGCACACCTGAAACTCCCTGGAGCCGTCCCTCCCACACCTGTGAGCCCCTTCACTGCTGGTCAGGAGCCTGGGTGGTCACCGGCTGCCCATGGCCACCTATGGCCTCTCCCCCAGCTCCTCGCCTGCCTTCTTTCCCTGACGCTGGCTCTGTTTTTGTGAGTCTCTCTGGCCCTATCGGTCTTCCATCTCTGGCCTGGTTCTCTCTGCTTTTGCCCTCTCTGTTTCTCTGACTGTCCCCTTCTCTGTCTCTCTTTTCATCTTTTTCTCTGTTCCCACCTCAGCCTCTGATTCTACGTGTATGCGCCATTATTTGTCTCCTATTTTCTGTCTCTCTTCTGGGTATCGGTCATCAATCCCTGTGTGTCTTGGCTGTCTCTGGCTCTGATTTGCCCCAATCTGCCATATCCTTAGGTGCTCGTTCAGAGTAACCTCATGGGGGGAGAGGGAGGTTGTTTGAAATGTAGAATCTCAGGGTCCTCCCAGACTGAATGAATCTGAACCTGCCTTGTAACAGATTATCACCCAGGTAATTTCTGTGCATGTTTAAAAAAATTCCTCTCTCTCTCTCTCTCTCTCTCTCTCTCTCTATATATATATATATATATATACACATATATATATACATACATATATAATATAATATAATATAATATAATATAATATAATATAATATAATATAATATAATAATATAATTTTTTTTATTGATTCCAAAGAGGAAGGGAGAGGGGAAAAAAAATAGAGACGTCAATGATGACAGAGAATCATTGATTGGCTGTCTCCTGCACGTCCCCCGCTGGGGATCAAGCCCTGCAACTGGAGCATGCGCCCTGATGGGGAATCAAACTGTGATCTCTTGGTTTGTAGGTCAACGCTCGACCACTGAACCATGCCAGCCAGGCTCCTGTGCATGTTAAATGTTGGTAAAGCATTACCTTAAGCTTTTCTCTAAAACAGCATCAAAACAAAAATCCAGAATCTCAGCAACTTGGGATGTGTCTCCTGCATCACCCTGGGGATGCTCTGAGGCATTGGCTTCTCTGCATCCCCTTGAGCCTCCTGAAGCTGCTCCTGAAGCTCTAAGCAGCGGAGAGAGGGACATCATGAGCTTCCTCATCTGCAAAATACTGGTGGGAGGGGATTCTCCTGATACTGATACTTGGGTGCTCCCAGGTTTGATCCCCATTTCTCCCTGAAAACAGCCCTACCTGGACCTACTCCTCTGTCTCACTCTACTCTTTCAAGAGTAAGCATACTTTTATTTTATATAAGTAAAGTCAGCTTTTCTTTTCTTTTTTAAAATATACTTTTATTAATTTCAGAGAGGAAGAGTGGGATAGAAACATCAATGATGAGAGAGAATCATTGATTGGCTGCCTCCTGCATGCCCCCTACTGGGGACCGAGCCCATAACCCGGACATGTGCCCTTGACTGGAATTGAACCCTGGACCCTTCAGTCCCCAGGCCGACACTCTATCCACTGAGCCAAACCATCTAGGGCAGTGGTTGGCAAACTGCAGCTTGTGAGCCACATACGGCTCTTTGTCCTCTTGAGATTTTAGCAAAGGCCAGCTTAGGAGGACCCTAATTAACTTAATAACAATGTACCTACCTATA